GAAAAAAAAATAATAATAACATCACCTTTAACAAAACACCATCACCGTCCTCCTCTTCTACTCGATGAAAGAACAATGGCCGACCGGCCGGAAGAACGGTGAGCCTGCACCTCTCACGATCTTTTAAAATCGGCGGGTCTGTATGAGTCTCGTGCGTCTCGAGCCGGAAGTAGTCCGTAGAGGGAGAAATCTTTCCAGTTTCTTGGAATTCCGCGACTGGAACCACGTACGGAGATCGGATTTCAATTTCAATTTCCCGGGACCCGGAGATCGAGAAGACGATCGCGCTCCGCTAGATCGATTCGACTCTTCCGGGACTACTTCCGGCTAGGTCCGCGTCTTCCTCTATAAATCTCTCTCAAGCGATTACAACGAGTTATTTGCGGCTGAATCGATACGATGCATCGGCCGGAAATAGCCAATTACGATTTTTCACGATCCTCAAACGATAATTAATTATTTCTCTTAATTATGGCTACACTCGATGGCCGTAAAAAAAAGAAATTTTCAATCGGATATTCGGATATTCTTCGTCCTTCGTTGGTGAAACAAGAGGTGAAAAATGATAATAAAATGATAAAATGACAAAGAGGAGAGAAAGAGAGAGAGAGAGAGTAAGAGAGAAAGAAAGAAAGAAAGAGAGAGAGAGAGAGAAAGCGAGAGAGTGGTGCGTATAATAGCGTCGTTTAGAGCTGGTTAGAGCCTCTATCGTTAGCCTCAGATCTATATTCCCCCCGCTCTCTTTGCATGCGCGCTCGAGAGGAGGAAGTTCCAGGCTCGCTAGAGGCTGAAAGTTCAAATTTCAGTCGAGAGATCTTTGCTCTCGAGAGATCGATCTCTCTTCGAAGTACGTCTGGCAGACTTAGCGCGAAGCTTAAGCTTTCCTCTTAAATCTAGCGGAAAGTCTAGCCCCCTCCTCGACATAGATCAAGCTTTATCGCTCTAGCCAGCCTGGAGAGCTTAACGTTCGTTCGTTCACGAAGACGCATCGAGGCTCGCTTTTATCACGTTTCAAGAAACATCGACATCGAGGTGGTGATCACGTTCGAAGAGAAGAGTTAGAGTTGGTTGAGAAATGATATGAAAAATTAATTTTATCAACAATTGGAATCTATATATATATTTGTATATACGAAATAGAATTCTAGAACTTGGCGATCGAATGGCAAAATTTGCAGTGGACTTCCGGTGGCTTTATAGACGGACGTGGATCAACATTAGCGGAGCTTTCGCGAGGAAATGGCACAAAGCAGCTTTGAAAGCGGCCGATAGATTCGCAAATCCCGCCGTTCATTTCGTAGATGAAACCTCTGGCCACTGGTTTATTCAAAGATTCGAAATGGCGGGTCGAAGATTGGCCGGTCTGCCACCAACCCCTTCGCGTGCCTCGGTCAAACATTAACGCAAATTTCGAGGCGAGTAGATAAAATAATCGCCGATAAATTTCTTTCCCCTTTCGTAACGTTTTATCAACCTTTACTTTTCTTTACTTTTCTTTCCTATTTCGTTAAATATCAATCCTTTCCCCGCCTCCATTCGATTTCCATTCGAGAAAATACCTATAAAAGGATCGATCGATTCTCATATTCTCGAGGAAAATTTACACTTGGCAATCGACGAGTGGAGGATCCATCGGCCGGAAGCCGGTGGTGGAGAGGCTCTCGACTTTTTCGGTTTTAATCGCGTTTACAGCGTAATTCGAGCTGGCCGCTGGATTCGACCCGGTTTCCGGCTCGAGTGGATGAATCGGCGAATGATCGATCGATCGGCACGGCGCGTTTCTACGAGTATTGCGAGGGCGCGCTCGGGAAGGTGGCCCTGATCTTCGAAACGAGGTCGAAGGCAAATTTGCACAATCGAAACGCACTACTCCCTCTTCCGCTCTTCACCTTTTCTTCCTTTCCTCGATCGAATCGCGAGGATCTGGGACTAGAACCGTCTAACGTTCGTTCGTTTGTCGACCCCTGTTTTCTTTGTGCACAGAATACATTCAGGGGGGAAGGGGGGAAGGAGGAGGGTTTTGTCAAAGATTTACGATTCGTTGATTCGGAGATTTACGAACGTTGATTCCGAAACCGCGAACGTTTTGACAACAGCGCGTGTGTGAAAGGAAATTTAGAGATTCCCTTTTTGGGGATAATAAATATCCGAATGTTTTTAATTAATAGAAATTTCATTTCATGTTCCTCTGACACGGATTGATGTATTTCAAAGGGTTGATCAATCAAGGGCTACGATCAATCGCGAAATTTTTCGTATATTTTTCATACTTGTGTAAGCTTAGTTAACAAGTTGCGTTGTAAAATCAACGAAAATATAGTTTTTTTAGTAAAATTTTGTGCAGAGGATAATAGGTTATACATATATGGAACTATTTTTTTTTTTTTTTTTTTTTT